GAGGCTGTGTGGGGGCAGCAGCAAGCCTCTGAGGCTAACACTGTCCACCAGCAGCACCTGACCCACAGGGAATAACTGGAGCTTGCCACAATATTAATCTTCCTAAACCAATTTTCATAAGTCATGGAGGGGGGCATTGTGTGTGCTTGCATGTGCACCCACACACACATTTGTATGTACATGTCAGGTGTTTAGGGCTTCATTTTCCACTGCCAAGTGTCATTTTTATCCCTCTTCCTGCCGTCCATTTCATGCTCATCAGAAGGCCTGTTCCCTTGTCTGAGCCAGGAAACGGCATGTTAGGCCTCCCTGCACTGCAGTCACACACAACACAGCTAGTCACCATGGTAAGAGAGATTTTGATTCTACAGCTCAGCTGCAGAAAAAGCACTCAGTTACAGCCATCAGTTACACGGGGTAACCAAGCAGGCACAAGCCCATTGCTGAAGGGTTCTGAAAGGAATACTCCTGCACCCCGCATGCAGCAACGGGTGCGTGCCAGGGAAAGGGTGCCGAAGGCAGGGTACTGGACGAGGTGGCCCCTTTTCTGACCCATTTCTTTGCATCCTGCATGTCCTTATCAGCTCATTTCACAGTACATTTTCCTCCCAGTCTGACTCAGCCTGTACCTCTGTGCACCCACTCTGAGAGCATCTTGTCACAGTTAAACCCTGGAACAGACAGTGACTAATGGAACAAGAACTTAATTAAAACGTCTCCATCATCTTCTTGTAGATTTTAGGGATCTCACTGCAATCCTTCTGCCTTGCTAGCTGTATCCTCCCACTGCTGCCTTGTTTATAGACACTGCTGCTAAATTCCCTGCCAGCTGGGGGAGAGAATGAGCTGGAAAGCCAGAGCTTTGCCCCGTATGCTCCTGGACTGACTTCTTATGCGCAGTAGGGGGGTGGGGGTTGTAAACTCTCATTTGAAACAATACCACTTTGAAATCGAGTTTAGACTAGGAAAAATGTGATTGATATTCAGTGCAAATTCACAACCTCCCTTGGTGTTGTAGAGTGCACTCTAGCAGAAAAGAACCTGCCAGGTTGGGGATATGAAAGCCAGGACTCCTGTGTAACCTTAAAGAATACATGGTGCCTCAGTTTACCCATCTGCAAAGGGGTTTAATTACTGAATACCTACAGAGATCTTTAAGATTCTCTGGACTTGTCTACATGGGCAAACTTTAGCAATATAGGCTAAGGAAGTGGTTTCTCAACCACGGGCCATGACCCAGCACTGGGGTGTGGAAGGTCAGGCACTGGGTTGCTTTGCGGGAGGGTGCCAAGGCAGCTCCGTGCCTGTTCTGGCACCACGGACTGTTGTTCTCCAGAAGCGGCCGGCAGCAGGTCCGGTTCCTATGGCATTCCACGCACTCTGTCCAGCCTGGCACTGGTTCCCAGGCAGTGCCCGCAGGAGAGAGCAGCAGGCAGAGCCACTTTTGTGCCTCTGCCTAAGAGCCGGGCCTCCTGCTGGTGGCTGCCGGGGCACGGTGTGATCTGATCCAGAGAATAGAAAGGTGTGCTGTCTGCCAGGTGCTAAGATACGGGATGTGGAACTGAGGTTGAAGAGGATTATTAAGGGAGCAGGAAGGAATCCATTGATCATCCTTCATGTAGGAACAAATGATACGGCTAGATTCTCGCTGGAACGAATTAAGGGAGACTATGCTAGGCTGGGGAGGACGCTCAAGGAAATTGAGGCTCAGGTGATCTTTAGTGGGATTCTGCCTGTTCCTAGAGAAGGGCAACTAAGATGTGACAGGATTATGATGATCAATAGATGGCTTAGGCCAGGAGTGTCCAAACTTTTTTCAAAGAGGGCCAGATTTGATGAAGTGAACATGCGTGAGGGCCGACCATTTTGCCTGACATTCTTTGAACCATTAAAATTAAATGCAAATTAACTATTTTATGCAAAGTTTATTGCAAACGGCATACTTTTCATTTCGTCACATGGATGACAAATCTAAACAAGTGTTAAATCACTCTGCCTTTCATATCTGAAGGCCAGATGAAAAAAAAATCCAGGAAGCTGAAATATATGTCAGGAACATTGTAAAGTACATTACATATTATTGGTAATAAAGGTTGTCTGTCAACTTTTAAGTTCAAAAAATATGAACAGGAACATAACACCAAGTATACATGTTGTGTCCAAATATATTTATAACTGATTTAGACCAACTGACATTAACTGAGATTTTACAATGTATTCATCTCAATACATATGGATTCGTTGGAGGCCATAAAAGATAGATATTGCCAAATTACCTGTGGGGCCGTATTAAACCGGAACACGGGCCGCAATTGGCCAGCGGGCCGGACTTTGGACATGCCTGGCTTAGGCAGTGGTGTTATAAGGAGGGCTTTGGGATGTATGGTCACTGGGAGGCATTTATGGACAGAGGACTGTTCTCTCGGGATGGACTTCACCTAAGTAGGGAGGAAATAGACTTCTAGGATGGAGGCTGGCTCAACTGATTAAGAGAGCTTTAAACTAGGTATTTGGGGGAGATGGTTGGGAGATGTCCAGGTAATCTCTACGCCGGATTTTAACACTGAGAGGGAGGAAAACGAAGTTAGAAAGGATATACCTGGGGGTAGGAGAATGAACATGAGGAAGGGTAGGGTGGATACTAGTCTAATAGGTCATATTGGAGGTACAACATCCGTGCCAAATTGGGTAAAGAATGTGAGTGAGGCCAAACAGCAAAAATTAAGATGTTTGTACACCAATGCGAGGAGCCTAGGTAACAAAATGGAGGAACTAGAGCTATTGGTCCAGGAAGTGAAACCAGATATTATAGGAATAACAGAAACATGGTGGAATACTAGGCATGACTAGAGTACAGGTATTGAAGGGTATGTGCTGTTTAGGAAAGACAGAAATAAGGGTAAAGGTGGTGGAGTCGCATTGTATATCAAAGGATTGTAAAGAAATAAAAAGTGATGGAATGGAGAAGACAGAGTCTGTTTGGGCAAAAATCACATTGGGGAAGAAAACTATCAGATCCTCCCCTGAGATAGTGTTTGGAGTGTTTTATAGACCACCAGGATCCAATTTGGATATGGATAGAGACCTCTTTAATGTTTTTAATGAAGTAAATACTCATGGAAACTGCGTAATCATGGGAGATTTCAACTTTCCAGATATAGACTGGAGAACAAGTGCTAGTAATAATAATAGGACTCAGATTTTCCTAGATGTGATAGCTGATGAATTCCTGCATCAAGTAGTTGCTGAACCAACAAGGGGG